AAATTTTAAAAATTTTTGGTTCGAATGGTTTATGAAAACAAAATCTAAGATAAAGACTATTTAATTCATACCTGGAAAGTAACTGAAGTAAGGCCATCTCTCCTTATGTATGAAATCCTAGAATTGGGCACCCAAGCATGAATCATGCATATCAAGGACTGAAACTGGTTCAGACTTATGGAGTCTCCCACGAACATTATCTTCTTCCTTCTAAATTTCTTCAAGAAATACAACCCATTGAACCTTAAAAACATCCTCCAACCCGTGAGCCATATAAAATGAACAGAAACAGAGGAGATGATTGCAGAGTTGAAAAATTATGTACCTGGGAAGGGAACATGAGAAGGGCTCCCATCTGTACTTGAGGTAGGTGCTATCAGGTCGGCCATTCTTTCGGCAGTTGAATTGTTGATCTATGAAGGGACATTTATAAGGGTCATAGAGAGGATAAGAAGAATCATAGACCCAGTTTCCCTGGAACCAATTGCAGTTTCCTGCTAGGTTTCTGCCACTGCTGCTGACATTATTGAAGACATTAAAGTCTTCATCAGCTTTTGCTCTTTGATGTAAAAACAAAAACAGTTGAGAGAAGAAGAAGAGGGATTTGAATATCATGAAACCCATTCTCTTGGGTTTCGTTCTCTCTTCTCTTCCTGAATTTGTTAGGGGAGAAAAGGACAAGGACTGAAGGAAAAAGCTGTCCCAGACAGCTGCTTATCTAATGAGAGAGGCTTCGAATGGAATATGACTCAGCGACTACTCGCTCTGTTTTATTTATTTTCTTCTCTGCACATGAAGAAATTAAAATTGAGATATTTTGGATAGAGTTTCTTAAATGTGTTATGTGGGGTTGGATTGGATCCCGTGGTTTCTTTGAAAACTAAGGAATCATCATCAGTTTAATTCTAAAATAATGGAAATATTTTCCCTACCATAAAAAATAATAGTAATACATTTGCTATGAAAGGTTCTTTTCAGACACACCTCTCCTTTTCATCATCTCTTTCCCATGAATAAAGTATAGTGTTCCGGTTTTCTAGATCTCATAATGTCTATCTGTATTGCTTTTCATCCCAATTAAGACACAATTGATGATCTCTTCATAAAAACGTTTAGAGAATAAGGGAGAAAAGAAAATTCTAAATAATAGTTGTTGGCGTGGCTACCTTGATTAATTAAGTAGCCTTTATATATACTAAATATTATAAAAAATATATAGTTATAATATCATATACTATTACAAATTTACAATCATAATTTGTAATTATATGATTGATTATTTTTATTATAGAGTTATGTGTAATACCAATGAAGTTAATACCATACCGTACCGGCTGGAACGGCCGGTACGTATCGGTTTTGGTATTTGACTGAAACGGTACAACGTCAGTTTTCGTTTCGGTCAAATTTCGAGCGTTTCGGTCAAAATCCGATGTATCAGTCGAAATTTCGGTGTACAGGCCAGTACACCGAAATTCCGGCCAGTACACACTGCAAATTAAAAAAAAAAAAGGATTCCCCTAGCCCAAAACGACGTCGTTTTGGGCTAGGGGCTTTTCATAACCTGCAACTGTGTCCATATAACTCAATTCAAATTTAAAAGGGTAAATTTCATTTTTGATCCTCAACTTTAATGTTATTATAATTTTTATCCTTTAACTTTTTTATGTACTTTTTTAGTCCATTTTTCATTTTTTTTGTCTTTTTATCAATTATTTTGTTAAATTTATCTAAATATACACATTTTTAATTCTTTAATTTAAAGTGAATGGACGAAAAATATACATATATTAAAATTTGAGAGACTAAAAATGATCATTTTAAACTTATTTTTAATTTATAAGAATATCATAGTTTTAAATATTAGTATCTCTTATCTTATTTTAAAATTTGATATTTAATTTATAAAAATATATATTTATAGCGATAAATCCGAAACGGTACACAAAAAATTCCGATATCCGGTACGTATCGTTCCAGTAGCAAAATTGGTACGCATACCGGTACGATATTGACTACTTTGCGTAATACTATATGCAGTGTTGAAGGTATATTTTGATAAACAAAGAGACGAGTCTACATCATTGTCCTCCTTGGATCGTCAACCCAAATTAAAAGTTAGACACAAGGTCGGTTAACAATATCCTACTGTCACTCTATCAAGAATAACGAGCTGAAAACTCATTGAAAAAGAAACTTCTTAACAAAGAAACATATAAAGTCTCTATTATCATAGACAAAGGGCAAAAGTCTCCACCATTGTGGGCAAAAGATTGAACTCTAGAAGGCATTATCTCCTTCACATGGTCTTCAATCCATGAAAAGATGGGCCATCCTTTGGCGATCATCTCCTGTATGGTAATGCGGTGCTTGCCGAGCAAAACAACCAGAACTACCATCTGATGAAGTGATATCAACATCGAGCTCCCTCCATTTGCAAACAACTAGCCATGGTATTGGTAGAACTCTTGTTAACCAAGTACAAAGGATTCTTGTCACAATAGTTCACTATCATTTATATGGACAGTGAGTTTATATTTAATTTTGTCAAAACTACTATTAACCATGAACAAAGGGTTCTCACCATGGTTGTCAAAATCGCATTATAAATCGCAAAATTGGACGATTTTATGATGTTATATACGCATTTCGAGTAAAATCTATGATAAAATCGAATCTCCATAAAATCAGAAGTAAAATCATAAAATCTCAATTTTACAATAAACTCATTTGAAATCTCGATTTTACTTTCAAAGATTGAAGAAGACGCTTCTAGAAATTCAAACATTAATTTGATTTTTGATCTTTTTTAGGTTTGCCGCAGGTGAGGGAGAAATTGGACTGCTACAGTGCTGCTGCTCATTGTTGCTGCTCATGCCGCTTCTCGCTGCTAACTACTCAAGCAAAGCAGTTGTTGGCTGAACAGTAATCTATTTGGTAAGTGGTGACCCAAATCATCCGGAGTTAAGGGGATTGTCAAAGAAACTGGGTTTTCTAAATTTTGCAACTATGGAGAATTAAAATTGAAATGAAGGGATGAAGAAGAGAGAGTAAGAGGAAAGAAAGATGCAATAGGGTGAGGATGATGATGAAGATGAAGTTGAAGAAGAAGAAGGTGATGATGATGAGCAGTAACAACTGTTGATATAAAAATCTAGATGTTGTGGTTGTCCCCTTACCACTTGTGTTTTTAACCCTAGTTTCTAATCCATGGTTAGTCCTTGACCCAATTGGGTTAAGATGTTTGTAATAAATATGCCCAGCCTACTGTTTGAAACTTTAAATAACCCAATTGAGAATTGACCCTTACTAATTTTTTTATGGCATAAAAACATATATATTTTTTAATTTTTTTTTATATTATCATATATTATAATATTAAATTTTAATTTTATTAGAGTTATTGTAAATTTTAACATTATATTTGATTTTTTATTATTAAATTTTAGTTATATTAATATAAAAGTACAAATTTTTATTATTTATTTATTAAATTTAATAAAATCTCGATTTTACTAATTCGATTTTACAATTCCGATTTTACTTACCCAAAACGATTTTAGATAGAATCTCGATTTTGACAACCTTGATTCTCACCATAACAACTCTTTGTTATTGAAATGGATAATGATCTTATATTTCATTTTGGCAAGACTCCCCTCAATCATGAACAAAGATGCCATTACAACTCCCCATCATTAATACAGACAATGGATTTGATTCAGGAAGGCATTAACTCCTTCACTAAACCGGAGGCCTAACAAAGAGATTGACTATCTCTGCGTAGTCATTAACATTGACAAAGCTAAATTCTATATTCAACAAAGGTCATTATTGTTTACAGCTACCAAAAGTTCAATAAAGGTCGTCACTATTTATAACTGATAAAAGTTTGACAAAAATCATTACTATTCATGACTAATAAAAGTTTGACAAGAGTCATCATTGTTCATGACTGACAAAAGCATGACAAATTGTCATTGTTCATGATTGGCGAACGATTACCCAGTTCAGTTGCCAAACGTCGCTTGAAAGTCCTTGTTCACCATTGCTTGAAGATTAGATGATGAAACATTGTTACTAAACCACACAAGGCCAAAGTTGTTGATCTACGGTAAGAGTCGTCAACAACAATGATGACATTTAGGGATCAACTTTTGATAAAGTTTGCTTGCTATTTATAACTTGTCAAAATTTTTATTCTTAAAATATTTTGTAACTAATAGAAAATGTCATTATGTAGGTTGTCAAAACCGTGGAACCAAACCCACAAGGATAATGGGAAGGATTATAGGAATAATAGTGTGGAAGGCATGGAGTAACTGATCTTACCTTGTCATCAAAATGGAATGTCAATATGGTAGAGCTTGGTACCACCTTTGTCAATCCGTCTCTAACAAATAGAGGAGAAAGGCTCGCCAAAAGGAGCAAAATGTTTGTCAAAGGGTAAAAGCTTACTCCTTGTATTCTTCTTATCAAGCCCAAACCTAGGAGAAAACAAGGGAGCAGCTCATTGTCTAAGGCAGTTATACCAACCTAAGGAAACCACTGTACAAAACTATGGATTCATGGTTACCAATTTGAATTTTACCAAAATTATTTTTGTCTTGTAGGCAAATAAGGCAAAATATCTTGCCAATCTAATAACTTCAAATTTTTGGCTAAAATGCCCTATTGTCCAATAGGTAAAGAAAAGGTATGTTAAGGTTGACAGATGATGGACACATGTCCTTGTCTAACCTAAGATGCTCATCTAATGGCCCTAGATTAGTTTACTTCATAAAGTTACAAAACCACCCTACGTACTAGAAATACCATTTTTCTTCCATTTTTTACAATCTTTGGAATCTTCAGAATCTTGGCAACCTTTTCAAAAATCTCTCTTTACTTACAATAGTCTTCTCTCTTAAAACCCACTCATTTTCCCTTATTTTGATCCACAAACACTCACCAAATACAAAACGTATTTGTCACGCCCTAGAACCCATATCCGGAGACGCGACAGACACCGTACACTCGTGAGACGGGTGCCACAAATGCACAAGGCTCGGAACTTATCCAATTCACATCTGAAACCACAAAATCTGAAGATAAAATCTTAAAATCTAAAGATAAAATCTTAAAATCTGCTCTGATATCATAAAATCTCCAAATACACTCTAGTTTACAAGATCATGATTTATTTCTAGAATCTATATCAATCTCGAAATGGCTAGCCTTCTAACTCGTCACTTCTCGTGGTTTCCCCGTCCTCGGTTTCGCTTCTTGAAATGGTGGACAAGGAAAAACTATGAGATAACTCAGTAAGTAAACATGGATAGCCCTTAATTAACTTATAGCATGCCAACAAGTATAATCACGAAAAACGGATACGGTACGAAAATGAAATAGATGTCTCTTCTATAAGTCATGGCCAGTGTTATAAACCTCCCACTGGCAGGCACACTATTTGTTGGTGTATAACCCCCACTAGCAGGGTCACTCGAACGAATCGATTCTATCAATAACATGTCGACATGTGCTAGCGTTTAACCCCCACTAGCAGGGTCACTAATAACATGACCACATTAGAGACAAAACAGGCTAAAGTTAACAGAAAAATCATACTTCACCAATCACTTTCAAATCATCAGGACAGTCAATTAAATTTCAAGTAGGCATGCTCAATTTAATGAAAAGCATCAAAATCTCACTTCAAATCGGTAAAAGAA